ATCAACCCCAAATCAGGCCAGAATTGACACAACCGTTGACCTTCCAGTTCAAAGCTGGTTCTTGTCTCAGCAAGGCAGAAAGCTTATGTCTGCCTGCAAAAGACTATGCAGACTTAGCCCTAGGCACAGCACAGCTACACCTAATCTGGTCTTGTAGTCCATTTTTGACATAATAATAACAAAAAACAATAGGTGACCAATGCCCAGCATTTTTAAGTATGGAAAAAAATAAAGGTAACGCCATTGTGTGGGATGCTCCCATCCTCAAGGTCTGGGTGTGCCATGCACTGTGACTGCCCTGCTCCTCAGTACTGTGCTGTGTAATGCACCCATTGTAAACACATTTATTATTAATAGACAAAAGAAGGCTAAACTTTACCTAGAAGAAGTAGCGAATAGAGTTTTACAATTTGAGGTAACACACGCGGTTCTGTCCTACTGTGAATATGCAGCCTTGAAACAGTTTGACACGAGCTGCTGTCCCATGCACATTTATAGCCCATCGTGTCCAATCTTAAACAATTTCGGGGTGCTAATGGCCAAAGAGCCAGCTGGAAATTGGTCCTTGGCTCTGAACCTCATTTGCAACAGGCAGGTTGGCAAGACTTGACCAAAATTTGACAGGTTAGCATAAATTGCAATTGCACAGAAGTCTGAATTAATTTTCAGGTATCTGTGCTCTTGAGTATGGTTTTAAGGACCAAGTGAGTATTCCTGCTTTATCTCAATAAAAGAGCGAGTCCAGGTAATTGTTTTGATTAGGGAGAGATTGCAAGGGCAATCAAGAACCATCAATATGTGTTGGTGATAGCTAACCTAACTTTACCCCTCATTCTGAGGAAAACTGGCGGTCCCACTGCGCAGAGCCTAGACTAACCTCAACCACCTAGACAGTGATAACAGCCGGTTGTTATCCCAGAGAGAAGATGGCCTGTGGGTAATTAACATATCACCTAACCCAACCAAACTTCAGCTTCTTTTATAAATGAGTACAAAATGTAGCCTTGCAAAAATATTCCTGTATGATGTCTTGAGACACCCTTCAATCCACCTGAAGACCAAATCTCAGGACTCTCTGCTTTACAGCTGGGTGATAAAACCTGTACCCATCACACACACAGGGATGGAGAAAGACATGGCCCTCGTGTCCCACCTGCAGCAGGTTCCCATGGGCAGTGCCATGCCTGGCTCCAAGTGATGTCTATCAACCCAGTGGGGTAACCACCATGGTGCTTATGCCATGTACCGGGCTCAGACTGGAGCTGCAGAGCAACTCTGGGGCTGCAAATTCCCCGGGGAAGCAGGATGAAGTCCAACCAAATGAGAGTCACCATGGGGTGGGAGATACAAGGGTCTGTTCACAGAGTGACCGAGGTGATTCATAACCGCTCTGCAGATATCAAACAACAGGTTGGAAACTGGCTCCCAAATTTCATTTGCTTTTGCTTCTGCGTTGGGTCAGCAGTTCTTATTAGTGCAGCTACAAGCTATTATGAATGCTCTCTTCCCCTGCCGCTTTGGTAGGATATCAGACACCCTCAGAGTGAGCCAAAACCTGCAACACTCAAAGGAAAACCATCTCCTGACTTCAGCTTTGAGCCGGTCCCTTGCACAAAGGCTCAGCCACAGTCATACAATCCTAAGGCTTCATAAACCCAAGTGAAGCAGTATAAGGCTGAACAATAGCCCTTCCTTGTAATTAATACCTGTAATGTAAATTAATCCAGGCTGCCAATAGCAGCTGCTGGGTAAATAAGAATCTGTGGCACTATCACTGTCAAAGGGCAGTGGGCATATGATGCCATGGATGTGAATGCAAGGAATGGAGGATCATTCAAGCAGGAACGCTTAAAATGTAACTTTTTCTACTTGAGAAATGTGTGGCATTCAACGGGGAACCTGACAGGAGCCATTTTATTCAGATAAGTAAATGTAATCACTCGGGCATCTGCAATCACTAAGTATTCCTGCCAATCCTCAGTAACTATTTGGATCATGAAGAGAGCTCTGTCTGGTTTGTGTGTGTGTGTGTCCAATTTTTCAATTACATGTTGACTATTTTTTCAGAACATACTATTTTCTACATTTTTTAATAATGCCTCTATTTTTTTCCCTTGAAATTAACCTCTTCAAAGCTCACAGCCCTACTTGGATTCTCTGGCTGACCTGTGCTCCTTACCAAGAAAGAGGCTGAGTCTCCCCATGGCTTGGTGGGTTTTGGTACAAGCACCAACAATCCCCTTCAAGTATACTTCAAATGCCTCTACAGAGCTTCAACAAACCAAAAATAAGACAAGAAGTCATTTAATTTTTCTCCAGTCCACATCCCACACATATCACAGAGAAGATGCAGATCCCAGCAATGACCTCCAGTTCAAGAGAGGAAGGTAAATCCTCATAACAAAGATGAGAAAGCTCTCCAAGGAATATAGAAAGCTGAAGATGTTGCAGGAGAGGGAACATGGAGGAAACTTGTTTGGTTACCTCCAAAACTATACCAGACTGTGGCAGCAAATGGAGCATGAAAGCAAAGCATGAGACTAAGGTCTGTAACAACAGTGCCCAGGTGGTTTACAAAGAAGAACTAAAGAAAAAAGGGGAACAGTGATTGAAGAGACATGACCAAAAAGGAGAAGAGTATGGCACCGAACAGTGCTAATGGGAACACGGACTTAAGAGAAAGTAACTAATCTTTCTTTCTTTACAGGCACATAAAATCACCAAACCACATAACATTAATACTCAAAGAGTAAACACCGCTGTTTAATCCATTTGAAAGAAAAAAACCAACCAAATTTAGGGCAAATGACTGGTATGTACAAAGAAAATCATATCACAATCTCGTTTCAGACCTTTAGAGATCCAGAGCGAGCCAAATGAATCCAGATAAATTTACATTTGCAGTTGACAGTTCACCTCAGCAGCCTGCAAATGTTTATCTTTCATTAATTATGGTTCAAGGGGAACTGCAACCTGAGATAGCTGAGCTAACCCTCTCCTCTTACAGATCCAGACCTGCCACCTGGAAGGCATCCAACCCTTCACCCATGTTTCTGGCCTCAGCCCAGCTCCCTGCATTTATATGGATGGCCACAGAGCATCCAGCCTGTGCCACTCAAAAGTGGGCTTTTCTATCTGATAAAGGCAACGAGAACAGATGCATTTCTGACAAATGCCTGGTTGAATCTCTTCTTTCATACTCTTAAGGCAGGAAACAATCTTATTCATATTTGTCCTGGACCAAGTACATAGTGAGCAGCTGATCTATAACCCAAAACGACTTCTCCAGAAGAATGAGTGGGACTAGCTTTTCGGCTGGTGAAATGCAAAGTTGCTCCAGCAATTTCTTTGGAGCTGCACTGATTTTTACCAGCTGAGGGTTTAGCCCACTCTGCTGAGAGACAGGTGTTGAACAGGATGGAGGAAATCATATGCATTCCTTTGAATCAGCTCTCCCAGGCAGGAGCAATAATAAATTCAGATAAACTGTTGTGTCATTTAAAGATCTATTAAGATTGAATGGTTGACTTCCTCCTCAAGGGAACCTCTTCTTAATTGTGTATTGCTTTGACTCATCCACTACCTTCTCCAGACCCTTCCTGCCCTTAACTCTTCCATTTCACAAACTGAAAGGAAAAAAGAGCAGCAAAGGACTTTGGCACACGCAGCCCCAGCAGTAACTGGGTGGGTTTTTGGCAGATCATCTCCAGACATTATCTCATTCCCCTGTGGCAGCCACCCTGGAGAGGTCTGCATTTATAAAATGCTCCCACATACATTTCTTTTCTATGGATATTATTTGTGCACGGTAACTCACATGCAGTATCCTTTAATACTTACATCTTCAACATACTTGAAACTGGTTTAGGAGGTTGTATCTTAATAGGGAAAAAATATTTAACAATTCAGGGACAAACCGTGTCATAGGGTATTGTTTCATCGTTAACTTCAAACAGGATCTCAATAAAAATAACAATACTTTGCCCTTCTAGAGCATCTAGCAATGCTAAAAGCACTGTATTAAGGCTGTCAATAAACTGGTTTTACCACAAAAATGCTCCTAAGTGGTCACGTCAGCAACATTAGTGTGATAAATCTACTATTTATTCTCAAAAGATGTGATACTAGCAAAAACACAAGTTTCCCCCCTTTTGCACCGAACTATACCTCTCCTTTCCCTCAGACCTGTGGCTAGTGGTTGGTGTACTTCACTTTCCATGCCCAAAGTTAAGCTCCCAGAAAGGAGCAGTGCATTGGGTGAGGCCATCAGGAAAACACAATTCAATTTCCTCATTAGCACTTGCAGATAAACTGCTGACATACCACCTGAGGCTGGTTTGCTGGCTCCACTTTCACATCTCGATCATCTTCCCACTCACGTTACATGCACTATACATCACCACATGGCCTACATGCTGATATCAATTTGGGAGTACATGTCTGGTTCGCAAGCTGTCCTGGCTTGGATTCAACATCATTAGCTTAAAACCACTTTGAAAAATAGGCACCAGTTCAATATGGATATAATACACATACAGTAAACCGGCATAGAATTACAGTGAGATTGTTTATGGAAATTTCCTGCAGGTCATCACCAGAGCCTGGAAACACTTAACTTTATACACAACATGGCAACCACGCTGCCTCTTCTGATAGCACACAACGATACCGGCTACATCTTCTGCGATGGGATGCCTCTCATCTATGTGTAGCCATTTAATCTAATTTAATGTAGTCATCATGGATCCTTTAGTACTCAACCAACAAGTGGAGCTTCTCCAAATAGTGATTTATCCCACCCTGATGTCAGGTCTAACACAGAACAAGGAATTACCTACCCTCTGGAGGCACCTTGCGTATTTCTCTCTCCACTGACTATAAAGAAAACTCAAATTAGCTTAGACTACACAATTATTTTTTGTATGGCTGAAGTAATCTGAAAGCAACCCTGTCCTCTCCGACAAGGCACCAGAAAGCCGAGCTTCTTGGAAAACCCTTACTTTTGGGCACATCCATGGGATTCAGGCTGCCGATGAGGTCTCTGACATACAGTCCATCCCCGTCCTCCTTGCTCAGCCAGTTGTTGCAGGGGAAGTAAAACCGGAGGTGAGGTCTGTTCATGTCGGTCACGATCACGCGGTCGAGGAACCAGCCTGCATTCAGTCCGGTGTTATCGTGCTCAATCCTAGAGGAAGAACAACCTTGGATTTGACATTTTGATTAAGACTGGCCACTAACTCTGTAATTTTGTGGAATATTTTATATTAGGCAAGGCTAGACCTACTATATACAAAATGCCTACTTATACCTGCCTGTCCAAAGTGTTTCGTAGGATTTATGGGCTTTTACAGGGTATTTTGTAAATAACAACATTCTTTCATATATATATATATATATGAGTGCAGATATCACAGGTGGTAAGTCTGCAAGGGGTTGCACACAAATATACACACACTCGCATGTTCATTCAACATAGGCTTTCATTCACCTTACACTGCACAGCTAAAACATAAGTGACTCTTGTCCCACCCTGAATCCCTTCTGCTCTTTTCTTTGTTTTATCCACCTCTTCCCATTTTCCCAGGTTTCTTTGTACTACTTACTAATTTTTAATTTTATATAGGTCAGTCAGATGGTGGTTAAACATAGTAATTATCATTTACATTACACTAATTTAGCAAAAGAGGATAAAAAACCCCATTTACTTCTGTTGGGACATAAAAACAGTCCTGAATGCCTTCCTCTGTGATTGCATATGACAGAAATACAATTCTTGGTGGGGACCGTGGATAGTTATAAGTTGTACCATAGGGGATTTCATGCTTCAGTTAAAATCTTAGGCAGTAAACAAGCTTTTACCACCCCTTAACTTCACCTTGATAAGAGCATGTTAACAAATAATGAATAAAACATGGCAACACTAAAGCCTCTACAGCCTGTCATTCGATTAGCAGCTCGCAGAGCAGGTACTGTGGTAGTAACGTTGTGCCAGTACCTTATTTTCTTTATTTGTCCGACATTGTTGGTTTTTACTCGGAACACATCTGTTTTGCTCCTCTCAAAGGCCGTGCTGCTCCTGTAATACACATGCAACAAAAGCTATGGTAAGAAAATAGCAACCTTGTCAGCAAGCACGCCTCGTGGCCTGACAGAGTGCTAGTGTTTAAGGATGAAGAAATGTCATTTCTAGCACTGGACAGACCTACTTTACACTGTCCTCTTTCCCATGACGAGTTTTGGATAGCTCTAAATACTGACATTTAACAGACTTTTTCCCTTCTCGAGCTCTAAGAGTCCTTTCAGAAACTGAGATGGAAGCTTTGGGGGAAATGCAATGCTGGCCCAAGCAGATGCAAACCTTGGATCACATTCCATATCACCTCCAAGAATAAAACATCACAAAGGTTTTTCAAAATCCTCAGCAAAATTCCCCGTAGAGGTAAAAGCTAGGGGAGCCTGTAAGACCTTCCCATCAGCAAGTGGCTTTCAGAGATGTCTGAGAATAACCTTCAGTGAAGATATTTCAAGGTAGTGCCAATGAGGCAAAAATTACATTAAGAATTCCAACTCTTTGGTAACACCTTGTCTGTGGTTCGTCAACACTGCTAGCCCACCCATCGGTTGCTAAAACATAGAGGTAACAGCAAAAAACACGGGGATGTTTTCAGCTGCTCCCCTCCGTGGTGGCTGGAAAGTGTTCATTAGGAATGGTCGAGTCAGAGCTTCATTTTGCCCTTATTGAACAGCCCTTGTCAGCCAACCAACATGGAAGACCCCGGTAAATCTGGACCCCTGCATGTCCACTTCAGTTGCTTTACAGGACCTCAATATGCTTTTCATCTCTGTTTCCCACTCCCAGAGGTGTTGTCTCCTGCCATCCTAGTCCCCAGGTATCAAGCGGACCCACTCTTGCTGATGGAGCGAAGGGGTTCCGTAGCCCGGCAGGTTCCCTATGGAGCCACAGATCTACCCAGAGCTCAGCCAGAGATAAAAGCATCCAACCACACCAAAGGTTTCTTCCCACACCGATCTTCAGACATTTTTTTAACAACTATTGAAACTTCCTTTGCAGCTTTCTCCTACAATTTGTATCTCATTCAAAGCAAAATGGCTATAGGACAGGGACTAGTTTGTAGACATGGCACTCTGGGACATGGTTTAGTGGGCATGGGGGTGTTGGGTTGATGATTGGAATGATGATCTTAGAGGTCCTTTCCAATCTTAATGATTCCTAGTTTTTATTTTCATTAAAAATAATCCAGCCACCAAGACAGGAAACATGAAATTACTACTCTCCCCTTACTTGGTTTAGTGGTGGACTTGGCAGTGTTAGGTTAATGGTTGGACTGGATAATCTTAAAGGTCTTTTCCAACCTAAACGATTCGATGATTCTATGATTTTTTGTGAAGTGTTAAGTGTGTGGTTTGTATTTCACAGATGCAAGTGGAAGGCAATATAAAGTATATTGGCCCGGGTCAGGGGATGTAGAATTTAATTCCCACTTCTGCCTGCAGCCTGCAGTGTGATCTTTGGCAAGCCCCTCCATCCTTTTCAAGCTCACATTTTCCACAAAAACACGATGAACAACATCAAGGCAAAACCCACCCTTGCTCTGAAGACACAGCCTCTCCCACCTGCCCTCCCTGATGGGCCCCCATGTCACCTGGGCAACTAAGCACTGCTACAGACGATTAAACACAGCAAAATCCAGAAGTCATATTAAAATGAACAAGAAACCACAGCACTTCAGCAGCATAAAGCCACAGTGACAAGCAGCTTGTACTCAGAAAGTTAATGAATATTAATAAACCAAGCAAGGGGGTTCGGTTTTGCTCAGCTCTCCACATCATTGAAGGATCTGCATGAGCCTTTGTTTAAAGGTTATTTTGTTTGTTCTGCAAATACATGCGAAGCCCTCCTCCTCCTCTGTTCTGCTATTTCAGATACCACGCCAGGAGCATCACTGCTACATGAAAAGGCTAAAACAGTTAACCTTGCCGTGAAGACAAGAGACAATTAAATCCAGCCCAGCCTCCCCCAACCTGGCTGTCAGAGAGAAAACAGTCAGCGAGTGCCAGGCAATTAGTTTGTCAGGCTTGAGCGAGCATTGTAATGACAGCGGCTTCTCCCCACATCGGCTCCAGAGATCAATGCAGTGCTGCAGACTGCTACGGAGATGGCACAAAAGTATTAAGTGAGACTAATTAGCCCAAAGCTTTCAGCACATCGGTCCCGGTGGCTGCTGGTTTACGGCAGTCCCGCCACTGTGCTGGGCTGTTTTGGTTGATGGGATGGTGGGAGAGCGGTGCGGAGGAAACCTGGTGTTGGAGGAGCACCAAGCTGGCATCAGAAAGTGCCCATCGAGCAGATGCTTCATGCATCTTGAAAGAGCTTGGGGAAGCACTGGGAAACATGACTGTGGTCCAGGAGTTGAACTCCTGGGAAGTCTTGCCATTATAAGGTAGGAAGAATTTGACAAGTCTCTTCCCTTGAGATGAATATGCAGCATCAAGAGCACAAAAAAGGGGAATGTTTTAAGGAAAAATCCAGTCCTTCCTTCTAGCATTTTTCTAGTGTTGTCAATTAAGTGGGAGGAGAGAGAGTGAGCAAATATCCCATAGTGAATGGCTATACTGAAGTTTATCCAAAAAGAAGAAAAAAAAAAAAAGAGAGCGAGAGAAGAAGAAATTACAGCTGGGCTGTGTCAGAGTCTGGTTCAGGCTGAGACTGGGGTGAGAAATTCATAGCCTGATTACCATAAGGAACTCGTTACACCGAACAATGCAGCACACTGGCTTGCACAGCCCCAGTAACAAATAAAGTGGGGAAAAATCTGACTTGGAAATTGCAGCACTAAATTTCTAATGTTCAGGCTTGACTGGATTCAGACCCAGGGACTGGGCATGGCCAGCCATAAGCAAACACTTAAAGATCAGCAGAATTTCACTTGGAGCCCTATCGTTCGGCTGGGATATCAGGATAGAGCAACTTCAGAAATATATTTCAATCGGGATTTTTATTTCACATATTTAATTGGCTTTAGCAGCTCTATTTTTCATAGTCCGTTGTAGTGTTTTACCCTTTTGCTTTGCAAGAAACATCCAAGGAACTTCACCAAAGATTAGTGTATGAAATTCTCAAATATTTTTTGTATCTGAAGCTGTTTGCAGATTCTTTTGGTTGAATGATTGCCTGCAGGTTGCACTGCTCGTGGTGCTGCAACTGTACAATGATTTAGAGCACTGTGTCCCCTGGTTGGGTAAGCCATGTTGCTAAAAAGCACCGCAAGAACTGGTGCATATTTGAGCATAGTATTTATAAATCCCTGCATGCATCTCTTCTGTAGGCCGTTGGCACAGAAAACAGAGCCAGTACCATGAGAGTTTTGCTACTGCTTGATATGTTGACAAGAAGAAACCATCAATGATGCAATTTTAAATGCAAAAGTACATAAAATAAATATTTGCACTAGTCAATCACCTTGTTTTTTTAAATAAAGGGGAATTAACAAGAGATAATCCCACTACCTAAATGAAACATCACATTTGAAATTGAAATTTTGAGTATTTGTAGAAAATAGTCTTAACTTCCGATCAGCTAACAGCACGCTTTCCAGAGCGGAGCTTTTAGGAACAGAGGGAAAACTTGGGTACTGATCACAGCAGAGGCATAAAAATAATAACCACAACCTTCAGCAGTGATGGAGTAACCTGAACTATAAATTAGCTTTGAATCACTGCATTAATGATCATTTAAATTGCCTTTCTATTAGGAGTTTTATCCGACAATGCTTTGTACACATAGAATGGCCTGCAAAAGCACCATGGATGAAGGGCTACACAGCAGCACGAAGTGTTACCATGGATGTCAGTTCGAACAAAATTTTAAAGGTGCTCTATTAAATGAACAGAAAGAGTCAATTCTCGGTGGCACCTCCCTGCAACCCTGCCTGTAGGTCTGCCCGCTCCTGCCACTGACATTTAGCAGCGGCGGGAGGGGGTTTGGTACCGGAGATGATTTCAGAAGGTCGCACAGCAAAATCCATCCTACAGCCTGTCACTCACTAGGAAAAAAATAACGCCATTTGGATCACCTGCAATCTCACAGAAGGTGAGTTTCTTATGTACTAGGGGTAGACTGCATAGTTTTGACGTACAGATGTGGCAGGGATGAGCACTGGTCTATCCCTATTGTTTTCCTGGCTTGAAAATACAGACAGCTTTGCTCATCCTCACATTATCCAATATACATTATAGGCTGGGTGAATCTGTGTTATCAGGCCTCTGGCTAAGACGGCAGCTTGCCACAAGATCCAAAAAGATATTGGGAAAATGTTTATTATGCATTTGCCTCATTCTTCTGTTTCTCCCTATATATCCACTGTCATAGAATTGTTTAGGCTGGAAAAGACCTTTAAGATCATCCAGTCCAACTGTTAACCTAACACTGCCAAGCC